GCAGAGAGAAAAGGCTGTGCCGCGAAGGCCAGCGAGTAGGGTCAGGCGTTTTCTCCCCAGCACGATCACGTGAGCTGGAGACAAGGGGCGGAGCACGCCGTAGAGGCGGAGAACCGGGAAGCCAGCGAGACATGCACTGGCCTCAGACAGAGACTCCGGTTGCTTTCCGATACGCTCTGTTTCTGAGCCCTTGATGGAAAGATTAAGTTGAGGAATGAGAAGATGGAAAACAGGAGGGAATCCGCTGAAATTGACGGAGATGAACGAGGCCGGCCCCTACTAGATACTATGATCCGCTGGTGGGTCGAGTCTGGGTTCCACCATATTTAATCTCCAAGGCATTAGGGCTTTTTAACATTTTCTCTACAACTTGTGTGGTAGGTCATAGCGTCTCTTCTCGGTTCTGCTATTAAACTGGAAGCTGGATTCCAAGTCAGCTCTCTTAACGCCACGCCTTGAGTATGTTCCGCTTTCCTTGGGTGACGTCATGATCTCAAAACAATGTAGGGATCCTGATAGCTTTATGCTAATATTGGTGAATTTTTGAAAGCTCTTTTGGAAGATGTTGGAGGATGTGGAAATCTAACAAAAATAATTGACATACGGTACACCCAGCAGCATTATTAACATATGTGGGGAGGGTGACTCACACGAACTGGGAGCTCCACATACAGTCTGTCGCCCCCTGGAACAACACTACTTGGCCCCTCCGTTGAAGTCTAAGGATAGAGATATCCCAGACAAGGGCAACTGTCAAGGCATATCCCCAACAGTACAACAGCAGCACTTCCTCATTTGTGTTTTCTGAAATCTACATTGTCTGACAAGAAGTCTTACAGTCATGAAAGCACTATACTAGAAGGTAAAAATAAGTACGGAAACACTTTAAAACCTCATTCATACAATCATAGGGCTTGTGCAAAACTAGTGTTGCCTGTGTTTTACTCGTTTTTGTTGTTCTTTTTGCCAGAGGGTGTGTGTGATTGCCAGAGAGAGTTCAAGAAAGCATCCCCACGGAGAATGGTCATGCAGCAACCCTCTCTTCTCCAGCTTCCCCTCCTTTCTGGATTTTGGGCATGTGTGCATACAGACACATGCACACTGCACTTGGAGATTGTTTTGCAGACTGCTGGGGCTGGAACTCACTGTGGTCAGCCATGTGGGCTTTGGCTTTCTAAGCAAGCATTTAACCACTGTACTATGGGTAGTCCAATAATGAATTAAATTAATGTGATATCTTGACTTTATAAGGTTTTTCTGGTGTAATAGTTAAGTTGCTGGACTCCCACATGACTGAGTCCCAAAACCAGAAGCTTGAAACTCATGCCAGTGTGTGTGCGTGCCTGCCCTAATCCCAAATGGAGAAGGGATTGCAGCATAGCCATCCCTTTGGGGGGTAATTTCTCATTTTCTGTCATTCTATCTCTGTCTCTCTGGCAAGTGCACACACCCTATACCAAAAATCTATTAAAAAAAGATTTTTTTCTGACTTGTTTTTCTGCAAACTCATCTCTTAGGTCATCAGATACCTTTAGCAAATTCTCTGGGTTTTTTTTGCTTGTTTGTTTGTTTTTGGTGAAGGGATGTACACTCCCTAGAGAGAGATAGAGAAGAGTAGACAGCACCCCCATAAGCAATGGTCACACCACGATCATTCTCTTCTTCTTTTTTTGGAGAGGTTTTTGCTAGAGGGTGCATACACTCTCCAGAAAGACAGAGACAGAGAGAAAATGAGAAATCACTCCCTGGGGGTTTGGCCACACCACAATCCCTCCTCTTCCATTCTACTCTCGGGATCTTGGGTATGCAAGCACATGCACCCTGCATGAGTTTAAGCCACTGGGTCCAGGACTCAAACCACGGTCAACTACCATGGGAGTTCAGCAACATAGCCATTACTCCAATTGCTGGTCTCATGGTCATTTTCTTCTATCTTTCCCTTCTTTCGAGATTTTGAGTTCTTATACACTCATGCCCAGTGCGTTTCTCAAGTTATCTGGTCCAGGACTTAAACCACACTGTCAGCCATGTGGAATTGGGCTGCCTTAACCACCAGGTTACATAGCCAGCCCAGCAAATTTATTTTCAATCAGTACATGAAAGGACTTCAGGAACTTCACAGAAGGGACCAGCACACGGTGTAATGGTTACGTCACTGGACACCCATGTAGTTGGCAGAGGCTCGAGCCCCAAACCAGGTGGCTTAAAACTTGTGCCAGGTACATGTGTGTGCATGCCCAAAATCCTGAGAGGAGAAGGAATTTAGCATGGTCATCCCCCGGGGGGTGATTTCTAGCTTTCTGTCTCACTGTCTCTCTCTCTCTGTCTCTCAGAAAAATGCATATACCTCATAGCAAATACTTCTCTTAAAAAAATTCATGGAAAAATAAAATACAAGTTAATTTCAGTGTAAAAAGTTGTGAAATCATGCATAGTTTTCTCATAATAAGCATTTTTTCATAAACTTTTTAAAGACTTCATAATTGAAAGCAATGTTCTTGTTCTTGGCAAATGCACGGTCACAGATGATTTGGGGGGAAATTTTTTAATTTGAGAAAGATCTAATGTAATGTTTCTATAGCTATTTGGAGTGTTTTATAAGTTTTGTCATAATGGGATAAATTTTTGTTTTTTTTTGGAGAGGTTTTTGCTACAGGGCGAGTCTGCTTGCCAGAGAGAGAGAGAGAGACAGAGAGACAGAAAGCGAGAAATCACCCACCAGGGGGGATGGCCACACCGCAGTCCCTTCTCCATGCCCAAGATCATGCATGCACACATGCCCGGCATGAATTTAAGCCACTGGGTCCGGAAGTTGAACTGCGGTCGACTATATGGGAGTTCAGCGACATAGCCATTACGTTAACCGCTGGCCCCATAATGGGATAAATTTTTGATGAATTACTTGTAAATAGAAATTTTAGTACATGTGGAGCTGGTAATTCCTTGAGCATTACAAAAGAAAAATTTTGATAGCAGGTGGCATGGTGGATAAGGGTGCTAGATTCCCACATGGCAGGTGGCAATTCGAGTTCCAGACCTGGTGGCTTGCTTTCTTGTTTCCCCTTTCTCTCTCTCTGTCCTGCCTAGTCAAATTAAATAATAATAATAATAATAATAACAAATTTAATTAAGTAAGTAATTCTTCAAAAAAGTTTTAGAGAGATTTTTTGCTACAGAGTGCTTACACTTGGCAGAATCACAGAGAGAAAGTAAGAAATCACTCCCCTCCACCCAGGGGGGATGGCCATACCACAACCCCTTCTCCTCCATTCTCTTGGAATTTTAGGCATACTTGCACATGTGCCCAACATGAGTTTCAAGCCGCTGGGTCTGGGGCTCAAACCATGGTCAGCCATGTGGGAATCTAGTGCCTTAATCACTATGCTACCTGTTGGCCCTGCTTGAACAATTTTTTTTAAAAAAATTAACTCTTCCTACAAATCATTTTTTTAAATCAAAGTCTGAAATTAATTTTAAGTGTAAGTGATAAATTATTGTAATTGTAAAATTGTAACTGGTCTAACAGTTACATTATAATTTTTTTTGACGTTTTCTGTAACTTGTTAAAGTTCAGGCATTTCCTTTTCAAGAAATCCCAGTTACTTCAAGTTTTATTGTAAAGTACCTGTTTATGCATTCTGTTGCTATATTTTAAATAATAAGCAATGAATAATTAATTTTAAAATAGTTTTCATTAATAACACATTTGTCTGAAGCTACATATGAAAATACTGTTCTTTTGCTGTCAGTGTGACTGATAATCTTTATAAGCTCATGGATATTTGACTTGCCGTGTTGCTTGCTCTGTCTTTCTTTCTCTTTCTTTTTTTTTTTTTTCTCACGAGGTTTTTGCCTTAGGGTGCGTATCTTTGCTGGAGAGAGAGACACATACAGTGAGAGGGAAAGTGAGAAATCACCCTTGGAGGAATAGCCACACTGCAATTCCTTCTTTTCCATTCTCCTCGCAGGATCTTGGGTATGCACGTACATGTGCCTGGTGTGATTTTCAAGCCATCAGGTCTGGGACTCAAATAGCAGTCCACCATGTGAGAGTCCAGTGATTTAACCGCTATGCCATCTGCTGGTCCCATATGTGCATTTTCAACACTAGAGACTCTAAACACTTAGTTGAATTCTATTATAATGGGTTTCTGGTATTCTTTATTATACGTCTCTATGTGCTTTTGTTTTGTAATAGTTTACTGATAGCATGTACTGCCTGAACTCTGGCAGTTCCTGTCCCAGCAATCAGGCTTGGGAGTTATGCTTTGTGCAAATGCTACAGATAATGGAACTTGGGGAACAGATAGACAAGCTAGAGGTCCACAGCTGATCTTATGCAAAGCTCTGTTTCTGTCCTACTACAGTCACCACCAACAATACTGGAAGCCATTGCTTCTCCACTGGTCTCTCCATTGTCACTGCTGCCAATCAGAGCTGATTCCCACCTGCCACCTTGGGGACTGGAGGCACCCTGGACTGCCCTGAGGCATTCAGATATGACACTTGCTTGGTGCCTTGTGCTGTCTGCTGTGCCTCCTGACCTGGGTTATCTCTGCTGCGTATGCACATGTCTCACTGTCCCATTTAACTTAACAAAGTTAAAATTAATCATTTCAAGATGGTGACAATAAGCATTAAATCTATGCATGTGTGTCCTTGGGGGGGAGGGGCTTCTGGAGTAGAGTTGTGTGCAGTTTCAGAGATCACATGTCCATGAAGCCCCTCCTGGCAGCAGGTCCAGGCTGTGTTGCAAGGAGCCCTTTTTCTTGGCCATATGCACCAGCAGACCCTGTGGTATTCTATGTGTCAGTGGTA